GGGGGGGGGGGGTTGATGAAGGAGTACGTTTTTTCCTGCTATGGCATTGTTTGGTAATTCACATCACAGGTGAAAGAGAGGCATGGACTGTGTTTCTAGGGGCCTGCTTTTTCCTTCCTAACTTCTGACAAAAGTATTCGCCAGCTGGTCCTTGTGCCACGTGCCGTGACTGTGACCAGACCCCTCAGTGAGGACTGCAGCATCCTTTCTGAAAAAGTATGGACTACTGCAGTAAAAGAATTCTTTACCGGAATAAAGTGGGCCGACTTTTCACCTGTCCTCAGTTTACGAGATAAATTACTTTATTGACCCTGTTGCCAAAACCACCAATCTCAACCTGTCTTTAAAGAAGTACAACCAAAATGCTCCTCAGACGTGAGGATGGCACGACTTCATCTCACACCCTTTGGGCGTGTGATCAGGAGGGCCAGTCCCTGGAGAAGGACACCAAGCTTATCAAAGTCCAAGGTCCACTCAAAAGAGTAAGACCCTCAAGGAGAAGGATTGATAGAGTAGCTGCAAGCAATGGGCATGCGCATAGCAGAGACTGTGAGGCTGGTGCACGATTGACCGGTTTCTTTGGGTTGTACATAAGGTCTGGAAGAGAGTCAACTGGAGGAACCCAAGCACCTCCGTGCTAACAAAGTTGTCCCTGGGTCAAAAGAATTTCCAACAGGGGGAAGCCAGTATAGAGCGATTTTCCTAAAATGCAATACCAAAATGGAGGTTCTTAATGTGGGGCCTGCAATTGCTCCCCACATGGTCTCCAGGGAATCTGTGGAATTCAGAAATTGCCAGGAAAACTCTGTGTGCATCTGGAGAGGGAGTCCATAGCTTTCACTGCTGCACTTCCCAATAAAGGTTAAGAAACACAGCCCTAAAGAAAGCATCAAACATTCCACCTGACATGCACCTTGAGTTTCTGTGCTTTGCTGATTTAAACGCAGTAATAACTTATTAATTACATATAGGTTACATTGCAGCTCCCCATTCCACTTCAACATCCATTACAGTTGCTATGTTCGCATTTCACTTTCTTTAATGGAAAGATTTCTGTTCTGTAACAAATAAGTGTAGCCACACTTTGAGCCCTAGGTATTTGAAGATAAAATCCACTTAAAGCTTCCACTGCTGCAGAAGCTTTTAAATAGTTTACATGCACTCAGATGCTTTTCAAACTACACAGAAGTAGCATACACTTCAAACATACATTTTGAGAGACATCAAGTTTTCCATGACCAGCTTCATTTTTCTTCATGTTACAATTTAAAAATCTGGGCCCACACAAAAATGAAAAACCAAACAAATTACTGCTATAAAACAAAGAGCTCTTTTAAGGAAATTCCCTCCCTTCTCTTGGTCCCCACACCTTGAATTGTGGAGTCTTCATAGAGGGTTACGTCTGAGCATCAACATAATATAAGAAACAGCTTCTTTTTCACTCTCTCATTGCCCCCAAGTTGGTGCCAACTTATAACTAACCTTCTGATGGGTTTCCAAAACTAATGTAAGAGAAGATACCCCATCTTTCTCCTCAGGAAAATGCAGTGGATTTGAACAACCAGAGAGCCCAGCCCTTCAGTTAGCAGAACAACCTCCTAGGGACTACACCATCTAAGCTACTTTGTCACAATTTCTGTAACCACATTACAATCTATTCTATGACTGAAACAAGAGACTAGGAGCCTCAGTTCTGTGTCCTTCTGAGAGACAGGCTTAATCATCAAGGTGATCTGGCAGTGCCACCACTGGCTCTGGACAGGTCAGCACAGAAGCATCACTAGTCGTCAGGTTGGGAGCCTCTAGTGGATTATCTCCAACTTCCCCTACCCCTCCCACTTGGAATGATTATATGTATTTTTTTCCCATTTAACATTTAATGACTCGATTAGCAGACAGATGGCCAGAATCTAGAAAAATAATCAGTCTGTCTCACTGCCATCAATCTGGAACCGACTTAGAACTAACCCTCCAGCAGGTTTTCTGAGGTTGAAAATAGCACAAGAGGAAACTGTCCATCTTTCTCCTGGGCAGCTGCAGGTGGATTTGAACCGGCAGAGAGGTTCAGCCTTTGGATTTTCAGTGAAACTCACTATGGAGGACTAGGACATCAGAGCTGTTTACAGAACTCTCAAGAAAAACAAAACTAAATTATCAGTACTCATAGCCAAAGTCTGTTAAAATAGTGAAGTAAAAAGAAAGTAGTGAGTTTCTTTTCCTCTGGGCTATTAAAATTCTTTTCCTCTCTTTCTTTGTTTACACATCATTGTTGGCCATTGAGTCAGTAATTCCAACTCACAGTTGGTTTTCTAAAGCTATCAATCCTGTGGAGGAGACTGCCTTCTTGTCCCTGCTGAACAGCTGATGGATTCAAATTGCCAGATAAACATGGCTTTTGGTTTAGCACTTCCACTCCTGAGGGACTACGCCACCACAGAGGCACATGACAACAACAATATACATATAAGGATATAGATATGCATGAAATTTATTTCGTTATTTTTATTGTTGCATGTAGAGAGTAAAACATACACTAATTCAACAGTTCCTCCATGTATAGTCCGTGACATGATACTAAGTTGTACAACTATTCTTACCCTCCTTTTCTGAGTAGTTGTTCTTCTGTTTAAACAAACTCACTACCACCTAAGGCTACTATCTAATCTTTTGAGTTGCTGTTGTCAGTTTGATCCTGCATAGAGAGATCTTAAGGGAGCATAATTTCAAGGCAGACATAATTTACTAGTTAAATGAATTTTGTTCTAAGACGACTTCAGGGACTTTTTTTTTTTTTAATTCAAGATTTAAAGACTATCTCAGAGCAATAGTTTCAGGACTTCAACCAGCCGGAAATCTGTATTCAAGAAAATTTGGAATTCTGTTCTAGCTTTCTCCTCTTTTCAATCAGTATTTTCTTGTATAGAAATATGATCAAAATATTGAGTAAAAGTGACTAGGCACCATCCAGTTCTTCTGATTTCATGACAAAAGAGGCAACTGTTCGTGAAGATTGACTATGTTTTGGCAAAGGAAATATCTGTGCAGACTAGGAGATGGCATCCGTTATACAGCTCATTTTGTACTTGGCAGTAGTTTCCAAACTATGATTGTCTTAGGGATCATGTGTTGTTGTTATGTGCCATCAAGTAGCTTGTGAGTCATCATGTAGGAGGAGCACATTAAAATATAGATTCTAGGACCCCACCCTCGGACCCACAGAATCATACACCCCAAAGAGGGGGAGGCTCCAAGTTTACCTTCTTAACAAATCTCCTAATCCCCCTGGCCTAACCCCAGCCTCAGTTTATGAGTTTGAGACAGGTTGTTAGCTCAGGGACCACACTTTGAGAAACACTATTGTAGTTCATTGCTTCGCTAAGTTTAATGCATGAATGAATCTCTGGAGGACTTTTTAAAAGTGAATATTCTGTTTCAGAATATTCTTCTTCAGCACCACAGCTCAAAGGCATCAATTCTCCTTCTATCCTCCCTAGTCATTGTTCAACTCCCTGACACATAACAAGTGATTGCAAAGACCATGGCCTGTAACAGATGCACCTTAGTCTCCAGAGACACGACACCATTGCTCTGCTCTTCAGTACTTTGTTAGATAGATAGATAGATAGATAGATAGATAGATAGATAGATAGATAGACAGACAGACATCAAGCTCAAAAGGGGAAGAGGGGAGAGAAGGCAGCCATGTTCTCCCATGTTTGCTCCGCCCAGGGCTGCTATGACCTGGTGGCCAGAGAGAGCATGGTGCTGTGTGCGCAGGTGCTGTGGCAGTTTTTGGACATGAAGGACTACTCTGCCTCCAGGAGCCAGGCAAGCCAGGCTTGGCCTAGGGTTTAAGACAGCAGGGATAATGGATAAACTCTAGCAACAACAACAACAACAACAAAAAAAAGACAGCAGGGGGCTTCAAGCCCAAAACGGCCCTTGGGCTGAACACTGTGACACTGATGTGTCAAATGCATTAATGGCTGGTTACCCAATGCAGACAGAGAGTGGGGTGGAGCTCCCTGATTAAAACAAGCTTGGAAGCAGGAGTGGCATCCACTTCTATAATAGCTTACCTCCAGAAACCCTATGAACCTGGAGAGAGGATGAAAGGTACCCAAGCATTGAGGACTCTCCTTCATAGGGTCACTATGAATCACCTGTGACTCGACAGCACTTAACAACAACAACAACATTCTGTTTCAGAAGGTCTGAGGTGGAGTGCAGATTCTTTGTTTTTAACAAATTACCACTAATATGCCTAGGCTGCTGGTCTGAGGACCACACCTTGAGTGACAAAATTTTACTTACATATTGATTGGAATCATCTCAGGAGCTGAACCATCTTACTCTCACCTCCTAGCTCTTGAGGCTTCTACTTCAAGCCAAAGAGCCAGCTTAATTGCCAAGAAGCCTTTACTTGAGGGCCAGAAAAAGAGAAGAAGACCCCCAATAAGATGGATTGACACTGTGACTGAACAATGACCTCAAGCATATTGGAGGTCAGGAGGATGGTACAGAACAGGGCGAGGTTCCAGGCTCTGTTCATAGGGTCACCGTGAGTTGCCAACAACACCTAACAACAACAAAGCAGTTT